GCTTAATGAAAAACAGAAATACCCCGGTACACGTCGAATCCTATTTGATCTGCAATTCCTCTCCATAACAACTCCCTCTAATCGAGATTTTTTTGTAGTCGCTGCCACATTTGTCATAAAGCTCTTTGTGTTCAGACACCAATGAGACCAGCAGCTCTACATTCATCTTGCCTCGATGCATCTTCTTTGTCTACTTACTTCCTCTTCATCGTTAGGTATCAATGTGTGCTCGGCAAGACCGTTTTGTGCTTGAGCGCCACCAAGTCGTGTTTTACTGTAACTTCAGCAGCTCCAGGCACGTGAACAAAAGCCCCAATCTCATTGGTCGGCCAGTTTTTAAACCAAACCAAAAAAACGAGCCAGAGGCGGTTTTTAAAAATAACGCTTTTACGCCTCGCGTTTTGCGCGTCGGTGTGCACTCACATTGGCGCCCTTTGTTTAGTCAGGAGGCGTTAAACGTCGGCGATAATCGCGCACTATATTCGTCCCGGTGTGAACAAGCCTTTATAGTTTGCATAATACATTGTTCTTTAAGTAATCTTTACATCTACAACTGGTGGGTCACAATCAGTGTTATGTTAGTATTAAGTTTTTGTTTTTCATCTATTATTATATTTCTTTCTGCTTTATTTTTAACTACCAAATAACATTTTTAATATGTTCCGTTAACTATTAAAAATTAACTATTCCATGTCGCTTACTGTTTATAGTGATAGTCTCCTTACTAGTTACATCAGTACATGCAAAAGTGCTATTGCTGGCTAGCAGTTACCTGCAAACAAGTGATTTTTCAGAGTTAATATGATGTTACGCAATAAAATTGAGTTTGTGAGCTAGTCAATATTTCAGTTTAATTACAATTAACATACTTGTGTAATAGAAAAAATGTAACTAAAGTTCTACTAATTTAGTAGTTTGTTAAAACTATTTTTGTTTTTCTAACTTAGGATTTACAGTGTTTTTGTTGTTGTTGACGTCAAAGACTAGGAGTCGAACTCTATTACATTTCATGTGTAATTTAGTACCAAATTAGGCACTTTAGAACTAGTACACAGGAATTACTCTTAAAAAATGTGTTATTGAACAAAGTATTTATATGCTTGTGTGAGGGTGTGTCATACCTTAAACCGCTTATCTTGAAGTACCTTCTTGATGGCCACCCACTCCTGACTGTCAATG